CAGGAGGGGGATTGCCTAAATAATTCCCAGTCTCTGAAGAACTTCAAGAACAGATAGTTTATAGACACACAATTCACTTCATCTAAACCAGAATCAAGGTGGGTAGCTTAATTCCAAACATTTTCGTGAATAATAAAGCTTTTAAGATTTACTTTTGTAGATGGAAGTTTCTTTTTAATTAAACTGATTTAGGGTAAAGGTCCATTAAAGGTTTTCACAAAATGTGGTGAACAAATGCTGCTTTGATGAAGCATTAATGGTCCTATACAGTTACCCTTAGGTAAGGAAATACTCCTTGTTTAATTTAATCCAGGCCTTGGTCTACAATGCTGAGGTCTTGAGGGAGTTGGTTTAAGTGGTCCTGTTTCCCAAAGCCAAAACATAAGTAAGTTAAAAATTTTTACTGTTTTGGGACAATTTTAGCTGATCATATTTTCCTGGTGGTACTATTTTGAGAAGGTGAACTATGAACAAAATTTGTATAGATTACAACCTATTAAAATAATGAAGCTAACACCTGTTTAATATATAAACAAATATACATACATCTGAGGAAGCCACTGTGCATTTCAACAGAGGAATGAGAGGAAGTATTCTGCCTCCTCAGCGGGGGAGGACTTTCAGATTTTAACTGTGTTTTAAGGAGGTTATAAGAGCTACATTACAAAAAGTTTAAAATAGGATTTTGTTGCAATAGAAGAAATACATGTTTATGATATAAAAACTTTAAGAATTCAGAAAAATATCACATACAAAAATTACCCTTTAACCTTCCAACAGAGAAAACCAGTACATTATTAATAGGACTTTTAAAAAGTGCTGTAACTTAGTGACAGAGTTAGTCTGGTTGATAGGAAAAAAATATTTCAAGAAATATTTGAAGAAGGTACACTTCACATGTGGAAAAATAACAATAAATATATGCCATCAATAGTATATATGTTAAGAATCTTTTGGGTTAGATAATATTCACATTCCATAAATGAGGAATTTTTTAATAAATTTCTGTTGGCATATTTATGAATTATCCTATTTTTAATTGTATTGCATATGAATGAGAAGAATAAAAAAAATAATAATGGCCAACATTTGAGTCCCTACAATTTGTCAAGCATTTATTTAACTAAAAAAAAAAAAATGGACAAATATTCCTAAGAGTACTAAATTTTAGGACTAATATTCATTAAAACAGATTAGTAAAGTACTATATTAATGACTAGAAAAGCTCTAGTGTGTTTCCCATGGAACAGGCACCAGAATGGCAGAGACTGAGAGACGAGGTCAGCCTCAGAGGGAAGGACTGGCTTGCGCTAAAATCTGTGCAGCAGAGAGGCAGCCGGCCACCAGAAGCAGTGGATGTGGCTTCCCTGCAATCTCAGCTTCTCCGCAAGATCACAAATTCGAGGCCAAGATCGTGTCTCAAAGTAAAAATAAAAAGGGCTCGGGGTGGACTTAGTGGCAGAGTGCTTGTCCAGCACAAGTAAGGCCTGGATTCAGTCCTCAGTCTGTGGAAAAAGCAAGTGATGGAGGTCAATGTGAAGGATACATGTTGGATTATGACCCTTAAAATAAAGATCTGTGAGTCTATACTCATCTAAATAAATTTGAATACATAAATGGGAAAGAAGTAATTCCTTTTTCTTACAAATGAATTCTTAAAGAGGCACAAGAAATGAAAATACAATCACCATTAGTCAAATAGCAGAATAACAACAGTAGGCAAAAAACACCAAGGAATGCCAAAATTCACAGGTAAAAGTGCGAGGATGAATAGGATATTTGTATATTCTCAAAGTAGCCCCTTCCTTGATAGTTACAGTGCACAGTGGAGAACGTGTAAGGTACAGCCACCAAGGGATTGGTTGACAAAACCAAGAAGAAGAATCACTCTCAAAAGAGGAGCTCCTAACAGGATGTGCTGCACCCGTGAGGGCACAGCATACCTTATGCTACTTTCTTGCTGAAAATATATGGATTTGATCTAATCGTGAGAAAATTCCCGAGGAGCTCAGAACAAAATACATCCTTGCGACTGTCAGGACTTCCTTCTCTGGAAATCTCACCAACCAGGGAGGATTTTAACGTCACAACCAGCCAGACTGTTTAAGGGCATACTCTTCCTTCCCCAAATTCAGATACTGTCAACTCAGTTTTCTATGCCTTCTCTCCCCTCCCCTGCGAAGAAAACATGTAAGCTTCTGGATCTCCCTGGGATGTGGGAATATTCACTTTGCTTTCATGTGATGACCCTGGGCACATACCACACGTGTACCTCAGGATTTCGCCTGATGGCATCACAGTGTTCTCTCATGCTCACACTCAGTTGGGGACAGGCAGCACACCAGCGTTCTCCTTTCCTGAGCTCTGAACCAGTTGACAGGTAAGGGACTCGGGTTATGGTCAGGATGTCAGTTTTATTGGTGGTAAAGCTGATTGGCAAAAACAGTTTTCCTTTACTTTATGACTTTTTCTCTTTATTTCCTCCCCTAGAACCACCCAGTCTCTGGGAATGGCAGATAACACAATGATTCTGTCTTCAGTGGCCTCTTCTAAAATTCATGAAAGACAGCAGGAATTCCTCATTCGTAGAAGGATGGCAGGACATCCTGCCCAAAATGTGCCACCTTAGTAGAAGGATTATTTTGAGCTGAAGGAAACTGAGAGGGAGCAGATATAAAAAAGATCTCTGTCCTCTCCCATTTGCCTGAAACAGATGTAAAGTGATGAAAGTAGGCGAATTAGCCACCAGAGACAATTCTTACTCTTATCATCTCAGAGAAGATGCCGGAGGGACTATACTGTGAAGCTTACTCAACCAGTGAATCTAAGATGGACCAAGGAAAAGGAAAATGTTTTTTTCTTCTGTATGGGCTAAACTCAGAATGCTAGGAAATGGGAAATTTTTTCCCAATAGCCCATATCTGAAAGCCTAGCAAAAGTTACAAATTACATTTTCTGGAAGCTGGGCATTGTATTAAGGAGACGATGAGGAGTCTGTCTGGCAAGGGCTGAATTCTGTTTTTGTTTTTGTCTTTTTCTTGGTTTTTTTTTTTTTTTTTTTGTACTGGGAATTGAACTCAGGACCTTGCACTTGCCAGACAGGTGCTGTGCCAATGAACTACATCCCTGCCCCCAAGGGTTCTGGTTTTAGAAGATTAAAAGAGTTCTGTGAGGGAAGATGGTGATGGTTGCACGCATACCAATAGGAATATGCCTCATGCCATTGTATTCTTAAAAGTGATTAAAATGATATACTCTATACTCTGTATAGTTTACCAATTAAATATTTTTACTTTAAAAAATAAAGGAAAAAGTACATGAAGTAAAGCATGGCCATAAAGACATTGTGGGTTTACCATGTTAGGACTATGCAGAAATCAAATCAGCTGTCATCACTAGATGCAGATATGTGTCCACTCTGATGAGAAGCGGAAAATGGTCACAGAAACTTGTCATTCACTCGCCAAGGACCATATAGGGATGAATAGAAAATATAAAATGCCCCTATCTGCTTCAGGAATAAGTGAATGAAAGCACAAGTGGGTTCCCAAGACAAGCAAGGAAAAGAGCTGACACAAGAATCCTCAGCATCAGTGGAGACAAAAGATGGTAAGGAAATACCCTATGGTATTGTTTCCTTGTGAATCAGAGTGACTTCTGATGCAGAGCAAGGCTGGGCATGGCTGGGCCGGGGTGGGCACTGATGGGAATAGGTGTGCACAGAGGTCTTGCTGAGAGGGCAGCGTGCCTCTTCCCTGCGGGGGGCCATGTTTTGGCCCAACAGTCCTCAGCTATGACATAGCTCTAAGACCACTCCAGATGGAACCTGAACTTGTGACCTCCCCACATAAAGACATCCATGACACCCACTGCACCATCTGCAGCTCATAAAATCACATTCTCTCTTTCTTGGCTCTCAGGCTGTTCAAAAGCTGCAAGGCATTATTTGAGACTGCTCCGGTTTATTCGTGAGCTCTAATTCAGAACATGTTTCCACAAAGAGAGGCAGAACAAAGCACAAAAGCACTAAAGTTCAATTTACATTCTCAGTCAGTGAAACAAAATGGAAATAAAGAACAGTTGCAGGGGAGTCATTTATAACTAAATTATGGCTCCAAAAGCGCCTTTCCTATAATGTCATGGAAGAAAAGACATTTTTAAAGCCACTAGAAAGAGCTATAATGACTAAAAAAAGTGAGGTGAAGGATTTCTATTTTAAAAATTTGTATTGGACTAAAGTGCTAATGATATTGTGATTCCCCTCCCACCAGCTTGGCAGCTCCAAGGTTATTTCAGTGCTTCCTGATTGAGAATCTCCTCCTTCTGTTGATGCTGCCAGTCGAAATGAAGCTAGTGTGGCCCTGGGAAATCTCAGCACATGAAACACAGTCTTTCATCACAATCTGGCCAGACTTCCTAGATGAGCACCGAGCTCATGTGCCATCACGTTCTTCTGACTTCCGGCAAAAATCTGCCATCCTTAGTTATGTCTGGCTGGTTGTGCCAAAAACCATCCCAAGTACTCACAGATGGATGTAATTTCAGTCACTATGTCAGCACCACAGATGAGACACAGTGCAGAGAGCACGTGCCAGGTTTACACAATTACTAGCACTTGAGATGGTGGTGATACATGAAGAGTTCCTTGACTCCAATTTTCAACTGGATACCATGCAGTGAACAAGCAGCAAAGCTAGAAGACAACTTTGTACTTCATATCTTGCGCACTTTGTGCAAAACCAAAAAAGTGGAAATTCTAGGAACGTGTAAAACCTAGTGGTCACATAAGACCACTCACAGCACCCTTGGTGCCAGCTGCCCTCGTCAGTATGCATTTGACCTTGTTCTTTTCTTCTCTTTCCACTGGTAAACCAAAGTGTCTCTCCACAACACCATGACACCAATATCACACAATTTAATAATTCCCAAAGGTATGCTACTCCTCAATCCATATCTAAACTTTCTCATTTGTTCTTTGCTGTTCTAAAACTAGGATCCAGTTCCTTTTGTGATTCATGAATGTGATAACTAGGTTTTCACATCATTGTGTGACATGTGCCTCTCTCAGACCTTGTTAATTATTGACCGAGTACTCATTGATATGAAAAAAATAAAATGAAAATAAAAGAAAGGATCTGATCATTGTCTAAGGAAGAACATGTATAGGTTATATGCAAATACTATGCTTTTTACACAAGTACTTGGACACTTGTGAGTTGGGTTTCATGAGCAGTCCTAGAAACAATCCCTGAGGATACCAGAGACACTATGGATGAACTTGTGTCACCTGATGCTCTCCAGTGACAATTGTGTGGACTTCTGTTATGCTTTCCTGCTCCCCAGTCACCTTAGGAAGGAGTACAGATGGGAAATCTGCAGACACAAACACTGACCACTTTGCATTATTAAAGCACATTGAAAATCCATGGCCAAACAAACAGATGCAGTGGAGGTGTGGGAAAAAACAGAGATAACAAAGAACTCCATGGACCAGGCTGCCTTTCATCCATCAGCATCACCAACCATTTCCTCTACGGCCTTTGCGTTACAAAGGAGCTATGAACCATGGTGCCCCAGAAGCTCCTTCCCTGGGTGGCTCTGGGACAGTTCCTCTCACAAAAGACACTTACTTGTAAGACATAAGAAAAACAGAGGCAAAAAGGCTAGTATTCAAATGTGATAGAAAGCAAGATCTCATGGTGAATTACTAGTGTTTTTTTAGGTTGGTAGACAAAACTTCCACCTCACATCTGCTGAGAGAAAGCTTCCTAAGATTCATGAAAATTGTGGGAATTTTCTGGGAATCTCTCAAGAGTCACCTCACCTACCTTTATTCCCCCACTTTTCAAAAATTACATGAGGTCCTAATCCTTTATACAGTATAAAATCCTCAATTAAAAGATACCATGGAAAACAAAGAGTGATTTTTTAAATCTGAAAAACTGGGCTGGGAATATATCTCAGAGGCACAATGCCTGCCTGGCAAACATGAGGTTGTGAGTTTGATTTCTGGTACCAAAAAAAAAAATAAATAAATAAATAAATAAATAAATCTGATAAACCTTGACAAATTTGTATAACAGTGATTCTTAGAAATACTCAAGTATACATTGCATGAATATAACAAGAATGAGTGTCTACGAAGAGCAAATGTGCTACAAATTTTAAAAATCATATCATTAAAAATATATTTATGTTACATATTATCACATGCAAAATTGTATATCTGTGTATAAATTTTGTATATTAAAATTGAAGGTTTCACTTAAAGTTTAAATTATTGACTAAATGTAGACAAAATGGCATTATTTGAATTCTGTAAAGCAAAACCTAGGAAATTAGAAATAAGTGAAAAATTAATATGTGGCCTGCATGCCCATCAACAGATAAATGGATGAAGAAACTGCAGAATCAATATTCAGAGAAACACTGTTCTGCCATAAATAAAGATAAACTTCAGTCATTTGTAGGAAAATGGATGTACCAAGAGCCCCTACTGTTAAGTGAAATAAATCAAACACAAAGCTTAATTATAACATGATTTCTCTTTTATGTGAAACTAAAAGTATAAATCATTTAAAAAGCAAAATAAAAAAAAAGATACCAGGAAAGAGGAAAAAGGATCTTCTGCAAGTACAAAAAGGACCAAGATGTGGAGGAAGGTTGTGAAGGTAAAGAAAAGAGGGAAAGGAAAAATAATTAAAATGTGTTATGCATGTGTATATACCAACTCACCACAATGAGCATAATTGAATATAATTATTTACAGCAAATATGTGAAGCCTCCTTGAAAAAATGGCTGATCCCGAGCCTAAGGCAGTTAATACACAGTGTGACACAAGGGATATCTCAGCATGAAAAGAACATGTTATCAAAGAGTTCAAGTCCATCTTACAAGACAACATGAGCTAACCTTCCACTGTCCAAAGATGAGGCAATGTGAGGATAAAAAGAAATAATGACTATATCAGAATTCATGACATTTAAAATTTCACTGATTCCTTTTAAGAGCTGCTGGGATTCGGAGATGGGAGAAAAAATGGTGGCTTGCTAGGAAGCTGGGTAGAGAACCTCTGCGGATTCAGATGATAGAATTTGACAACAAGAAGAGGGCCAGATGATTGGAGAACGATTCTTATTAAGCCAGAAGGAAACCAAAGGGAAAAATAAAATTAGGAAGAGGGAGGAAAAGCACGGGTGGAGGGCTAAAGCCCAACATGCTCACTGAGACCCGTTCTGCACTGTGCTGGGCACAGCCTAGAGTTGGACAATCCAAAGTCACACTGAAGCCACAGCTGCCACGGGAGTCGATGAGTCCTGGGCCCTTAACGGGACGACACAGCACATTGTGAAGTGGAGCCAAGGTGGAGAGCTTTATTGGCTCTTGGTGAGTACTGGAAATGGTCCCGGGGCCCCGCAGAGCAGCTGGAGCTGCCTGGCTGCACCAGAGAAGGCCACAGAGAGAATCATGCACCTGGGCACCACGCAGTTTTCTGAAGAGGCAGGATGCGGATCTAGATGTGGAAAAACCACATCAAGCTAGAATCTACCTCTGTGGAGGAAGCAAAAACACGAATGGAGGGCTAGGGCTCTGTGTGCTCACTGAGACCAGGCCCCGCTGTTCTGGGAGCACCATGGAGTCAGGCGATTCAAGGTTGAGCTGAAGCCACAGTCACCGATAATGGGAATTGTTGAGTCCTGAGCCCTTGGCGGGAGGACGTGGTGCAGTGTGGAGTGGAGCCAAGATGGAGAACTACATTGATTCCTGGTGAGTGCTGGGGATTGGGTCCTGTGGCTGCTGTTGCTGGCTGGAGGACATCTTGGAGTTGGGCAGAGCCCAGCGCTGTGGCAGTGTCAGTCAGCTGCCCCTGGCACAGAAAGGACTGGTGGGATATGCTGGGGCTGAGCTACACCTCTGATTGGGACCTATAGCCAGGGGCAAAACTGTCACAACTCTGTGACATCCACAAGGTACAGCATAAGTTGCTGAAGAAACTTGTGGGTCAACTGGCTCAAAGGCTTGCGGCAAGCCTGTACCATCCCTGCATCCCTGCCTACCTCAGATAACAGCAAATTGGGGAGGGCAGCAAAACCTCAGTCAGCATGCTTTGGAAAGACCCTAAGCAATATGGAGAGGGCCAGAGACCCCCCCAGGACACACTGGTTTGAAAGAAACCAGAAACATGACAAGAGAATAGAAATTTAAAAAAAAAAACCTCCAACTGCTGACCCTGGGAAAATAAGCCCAGGATAGGTAAATACAGAAGAGAACCAGTGCAGTAATCATGCAATATTAGACACAGCATTAGTGGACATAAAGAAATACCTTCCTGACCTCATAGACATACTTCTGATCCAAGTGAGTCAGGATATAAAAAGATTAATTAAAGAAATCATAAGCCCCTCCCAAGAGAACACAGATGGAAGAATGGAGGAACTCAGAAAAGGAAGAGAAAACTTTGATGAAGAATATAAACAAAACCTAGAATACATGAAACATATCCAAAGAGAGTACCAGGAAACTAAAAACTCTATTGAAAGCTGGCAAAATGCCTTGACAGAAACTAAAGTTAACCTTTCGAAACTTGAAGAGAGATTTATGATGTGTGATCATGAAAGAAAAGATCTCTTAAAAATAACAAGGAACCAGGAAGAAACAATTCAAAGGCTAGAAAATGACAAGAGGATTTATAACTTAAGAATAAAAAATGTGAGCAAAGAAGCAGGAGTAGCCACAAATGAACTACAAAAACTATTCACAGATATAATTAAGGAAAACTTCCCAAGCATAGGAAAAAGAAGTGATATTCAGATAAATGAGGCATACAGAACTCCAGCCACCTACAACCAAAACAGATCTACACCCAGAAATATAATAATCAAGATTTCAGAAATCTACCACAAGAACAGAATAATAAAAGCAGCCAGAGAAAAGAAGCAGATTACCTACAAAGGAAAAATTATCAAAATAACAACAGATTTATCAACACAAACTCTCAAATTGAGAAGAGCCTGGGGGGAAATAGTCCAAGCCCTGAAAGAAAAAAACCTCCAACCAAGACTGATGTACCCGGAAAAACTCTCTCTCAAAATTAATGGAGAAACATATTTCCAAGACAAGGAGGAACTGTGGGAGTTCATGGCCACCAACCCAAACCTACAAAAAATACTGAAGGATATTCCAAAGAGAAAGAGGAAAAAATACAGGATTCCAGCAACAGTGGCAGAGAGGCCTCAATGAATGGGGCAGACAGTGGAATGAAGGAGTAAAGTGGACAAATAATAGCAGAAGAATAGAATAGCAGAGATGAGGCAGAGACAGTAAGCTATAATCTTTAATATAGATAGCCTTGATACACTAACATAAAAGAAACACAGGCAGAGTAGATTAGGAGGCAGGATCCATCGAGATGCTCTGAATAGGAAATACACTCAACCTGAAAGAGGGTTAATAAACTGAGAGTCAAAGATGAGAAAACAACGCTATATGTGACAAGAAACCAGAGAGAAATAGGGACAACTCATCCAGGAGCTGCAGATAGATTGGAAAGCTATGACACTTTTGGGTAGTGCAGAACTATACAGCTGGAAGGAATGAAAACCTTGTGACTTTAGTAAGTAAAGGAGTACAGCTCAAGATCAAGCTCAGGGGTAAAAAGGTTCAGCAACACTCAGATAGATAGCAGGTTGGCCCCCTAATCTAAAAACTAAAGGAGCTAGTGGGACCCAAAATATACAAAACACCTTGAGAAAAGAAAGGGGAGGAATTGTCTAAAAAAGGAAAGCAGAGGACATTGTTAATAGAGTATCAAGATTTAAAAGTCATAGTAGTCTTATTGCTCTGTTTCATTTGATTTTATTTTGTTCTGGTCTGTCTACTCATATTAGATTTGAGGGGACAGACAGCTAACCCAAAAATAGCAGGTTATACCATGGTAACTATCCTTAATTTCCTATTAACTTACACTGAAACCCTGTATTACTTACACTGTCTTACTATGACTGATCTTATTTGAAGCTCGTTTGTCAGACCACTGTTTTGCCTTGGCTGATTTTATTCAAATTTGGTATGCTTGATAGTATCAAGTCTAAGAGTAGTGGC